CCAAATGATTGTTTTCAATGATTGTAAGGTCTAATATTTTTTAGTTTTCTCCATTTTTGTTTAATTTACACAAAATATATCATTATTTTTCCAAGGTAAAAATGGAGTCTCAAAGAGGCTACATAAGCCATGGCTTATAATAGGCTATAATTCTCTGAAGAAAGGATATTTTTGGGATTCCTTCCTAACTCATGAATAACTTCCTAATATGCCTCCATACAACAAATTTGGTTGAAATCCCCTGACCCCCACCTTGCCACCCTGGGCTGGTTCTCTCGTGGACAAGCTCTTAAAAGTGCTTTGTGTGAACCGGCAATCTCACCGTGCAGCCTAAAATTGTTCCTAAGTTGCCCCCTATCAAATGATAGCCAAGTGGTTCCCAGATTACTTCTTTATTTGATCTGGTTCAGGTTTTCGTCGATGACTACCATTGGTGTTTTGGCACCAATGTGGTATCCACTCCAAATACTGACGCTGTTAATGACCTAGGTCACTTTAGACGCGACACACGCTTCGTCGTTTGCCTCTTCTGGATGTCTGTAAACTCTGTTTTGACTGTTGAGCGGTACAGGTGAAATCTGACCTCGATAAAGAAAGCCACGAGGTTTCAGTGTTCAACCCAGAAACGGTTATGGTCCCCAATTCATTAGAGAAAAACACGACGATGTTTTGCTGTTTACAGTGGGTTCCTCGAAGGTCGTCTGGTATTCTAACCTGCTAAAACCAGTTTGGTGTTCGCTAAGGGCCTTGAAAAATGCGTTTTGGTGGCAATTTACCCCTCATTCTGAACGGACTGGGTGGTTTTTGTTTAGTTGCAACAGCGTATCCTGAAAGACAGTGGGTCCTGTACCCTGGTGGTAAGATTTCAATAGATTAGGGTGTGGCCTCTGTGTAGGTACATCAGTCTGGGCATTACTCGGTAAAACTGTGCGGACCGTTTAGTTTGGTGCAATTATCTGTTTGGCAATGCCTGACTTTTTCGCTCCATTCTGCCACAGATTAACACATTTATAAAGCACTGCATAGCTCATTTTACACACCGCAAACCCGACCACTTGCATGCAAAATTTCAAATTCTTCTATGCAGTAGTTGCCGACATATGGATACTTTTTTGACAGAGCCATGCGTTGCCTAAGCCAAGCCTTGACCTGCCCAAAGGAGCACTACCCAGTTAAATCACTGCATATTACATAATGCAGAAGCGCAACAAACCTGTTATTCAGTTAATTGGTAGCGACACACCTGACTACACACCTCTTCATTCACATATCTTATATAAGATCGGAGTTTGTGAAAAAAAGAACACATTTTTACCTAGGCGTACCTTCGAAACTAAAATATTCCATATTAAATGTCAAGTCTGTAAATAGAGCAAAGTAAGGGTGGGTAGGACAATATATGGAGTTGATATTTAAATGAGTTTTGTGGAAGTAAATTCGGTGCCAATATATCTTAATATATTATTGCACTATTTCAGCCAATGGGAACAGCCCGCCTCAGTTCACAGCGCCATCTATACTTGTGATTAAGGAGGATCGTCCGATAGGTAATGCAAGCCGATAAATCAATTTTCCGTGTTGAAAACAGCTATAAACTTATGATACTAGTACTTTTGGGGAAAACATGTTTTACATGTATAGGCCTATCGTATCTCAGCATATGTTTGAAGGTACATGTCCCATTAACTGTCCGATTTGCCCATTTTTCCAAAGAGCAGCGTGGTTTATGCACATTTTTCTTATGACATAACCATGTAAAAGAGTGGCAAATCAAAACCAATGATTCCTCTCTTGTGCAGGGTCTGTTGTTGGGACAGTCAGGGCTACCGACTCAGACGGAGACAGGCTTACTTTCAGTGTTTCAGCCAGTGGATCTGCCTTCAATCTCGTCCAGGTCTATAACACCCGCGGCAACGCTGTGTCAAATATTACGCTAAAGTCGCAAGTTAATTATGAGGTTAGTGCCCAGATTACCTATGCTTTTCTAACTAAATTCGAAACAAATATGTTGTAATATTATGAGCGAAATATTTTATGTTTAGATTTTTAAAACGTACTTCAATGTTGTAAAAATGTAAATCATTTTATTTTTAAAATACAATTTGCATCAATTTCTGAAACATCACTAGATTATGTTATCCAGGCTTATCTGCAATAATTGAAAATATTTAAATTACACAATTAAATGGTCATGGAATTAAAAGAACACACAGATATTACCTGTATCTGCCTTTCATCGGAAACAGATTTAAATGACTCGTTGATATTTTCCTTAGCACATCCACAGTATCTATTTTATTTAATTTTCAACATGAACTTGGATGCACAATGTATATGTAGTACCAACATATCCAGGCCTTCCCAACTACCAGACTCGGCACCTACGGGTCCAGTATAAACCGGTTTATCAGACCACACTACCCGTTTTCATGGTGTGTGTCAGATCGCATTACAGATTATCAGCCACCACACCGATTTTGCCTGGTGCGCGATGTGATAGCAATGATCCTAAGCGGGGTTGGAAAGTAGTGCATCTCATCTAGATTCATGCGCTGCTGCAATTTTCTCTGTTTATGCTAAAATCTGACAGTACCGCAATTTTTAACATAAAATTTAGGTTCGGACATAGCCAATGATGTTTTGTAAATAAGAACTTGCAAACTTATATATTAATTTAGAAAAGTAGACCTAATTTTGATAGCAGAAGCATATTCTTTCGGGGGTTAAATATTTTCGTGACTACCGGGATGGACGAGATTGAGGGCAGGGGTAATCCTAGAGAGGGGTGAGAAACGTCCATTGTTCTCGTCAGCGAGGCTGTCCTTTTTCAGGGTTTGTACGCACGGACAGAAAACTTAAGTATTGTGGGAACGTTACTAATGAAGCCACTGGTAGTACTAGTAGATATCAGCCTGTAGTCTTGAACAAGCTCCTCGATGACGAGTGAACAGTTGTCAAAAACAAAAGACCCAGGTGTGGTAGTTCAACTACTGTTGATGCGTGCCGCAACGACCAAACCTAATTGCTCCTCAAGGTCACAAAACAATAACCGGTACTGACGGCTAGGCTCGTCTTAATCATATAAGTAGCGCGTTTCCACCCCCTGATTGAGGGAGTCGTCTGTTGTATTCATACGACTCCTACTTGACGAAAACGAGGCGCGATACCCGGATGACAGGTAGGCTTACAGAATGTGTGATAGGGTATGATACTCTTTTATGCGATCTGACACACACCTTGAAAACGGGTAGTGTGGTCCGATATACCGGTTTATTCTGGACCCGTAGGTGACGAGTCTGGTAGTTGGGAAGGCCTGATATCTGCCAATAACAATAACTGCCAAAAACTTTCACAACATTTTGATATATTCCAGACAGTCTCACAGTTTGATGTTGGGTTCACTGTATCTGATGGCGTTAATACGGTCAGTGGTATACGTTAATAATTGTAACGATCTTTGTTTTTCACAATGTATTTTGTTGTAAATAATAAAAACAGCTGTGATGACGATCATTAAACACATCTGCAGTGATCAGTGCATAAACACATGGGGTATAGTTAACTGATTTCTGAAAGTAGATCACCAGTTTTAGATTTACATCACCATTCATAATTTCCTTTTACTGATCCGGAGAAACGACTGGCGATCGTGCCGTTTATTAAACAATACATTTAATTTTTAAACCCGTTTTATTGACAAAATTAGCTTTCATCCACATTCACAAAGCCAGTATCCACTTGTCAAGTATGTTTCGTTGTTGAATATTATGTTATCTTGTTGCAGCTAACCAGAACTGTCACTGTATATATCGTCAACGTAAACGACAACGCACCTCTCTTCAACAAGGCTCGTTACATTGCAGATGTTCTGGAAGTAAGCATGGAATTAAAATATCTGTGGACTATACATATTATCACATACTATATTATAGAAAATTATATGAATCAGCTAGTATAAGGAAGAGAAAAACAATACCGTACATCTGTAGCTATATAAACAGCCATCTGTCATAATTATGGTGCCATTTATGAAAAGGATGGTCGTTTGATTTTAGAGTACCCCAACTATTCAAAGCGTTTTAACACGATAATGTTATAACATAGCGATACTTTTTGTCGTAATGATATACGTAGGTTTGAACTGATATGTCAGAGCTCTACATCCTGTTTTAGAGCACTCCAGTGGGGACCCAAATCCTCACAGTGGAAGCTACAGACCCAGATTATGGCCCACCAACATACTATTTCTACTCAAAGGTAAAACACTGTTCCACCATCTTTTGTATTTTATCTATTACCACACTGGTCAACTGTCAACACAACTAGGAAAACTTCTACTCCACTACTCTCTTGGGACATTCGATATTACGCGAGAAAACGAGGACTTTCGCAGAAGGAATTATTGCACGCTTGTCTATAGAAATCGAATTAACCATTTACGTAGCAGTCATTCTTTGCTAGTGGTGCACTGCGGGGGGACCATAACAAGAATGTTATTTCAATTTAGATAGCCGACCAAATTCTCATGACATCGTTGTGTATGTTTCAATAACAAATCAAAGAAGCTGCATGAGCAAGGAGGATATTGTTATAAAAGCAAAAGAAGAGAAAAAGCAGAAAATATATCGAAATTACCCTCAAAATGGCGTCTTTTTTTGTGGAATTTCGACCCTACCTCTATTTAGGAACAGTTTGTTTAGGGTTTGAATGAATTATTGAAGCAGGGAATACACCTACTGCAAGAAGATATAATAAACAGAATGTGCAAATGGTTATTTAAATAAAAATTTATTTGAAGTCACTGAAAAATGATCACAAAATTAGCTTAACTTACGATACATGCGGTGTCCCACCCCGATGAAAATTTCATCTAATCCTATCTTTCCGTATTAAAACTGTTCAATCGTCCAAAGTAGTATTTCGGTTAGTTTGTGTCACGAAATCCATGATAATATCAGTTTTCTTAAGAATTTCACATTTATTGCTCAGCAAGGTCGATATTTCTTCACCGCGTCCCAATAT